TATATTCAAAATAAATGTGTGAATATGCTTATTTAATCAATTAAATATTTCTTTTTTTATTATGAAGGAATAAATTAATATTCATACAAAACCATTATTCTTGACATCTCTTATATTGATAGAGTAATTTTTTTGAAATTTAATATTTTTATATGATTTGTTTGTAAATAAAATATTAAGTATAAAGCATACTTTTCGAGCATTGTTCCTCTTACACATATTCTAGGTCTTGTTCCTCAATTACGTCTAGAAATTATTAAGTATAATTTAATCAACATACTTATTATATGCATATAGATACAAATTGAAATGAATTTTGATTTTATGAATTAATATGTATTTTTTTATAAATTTTATATGAAAAATTTAAAATTATTGTGTAACTCAATTAACTTTTATTTCATAGTGAATTATTATGTAGTTGTGTTAATTATTATATAAACACTAATGATAATAATAAAATTTAGCAGATTCATATTAATTTTACTTGATATGAATTAATATATCTAGCAGATTCATATTAATTTTACTTAATATGAATTAATATATATATTTTGAATTGATTTTTAGTGTATATCTATATAATATAATATTTATTAGTAATTTGTCTTTTTATTTAAAAAATTATAGCCCCGCCATTGATTTAGATGTAAAATATCCTTGTAAGATCAATCTATTGTCATGTTAATTAAACATCAAAATCTAAAACTTAAACATTTTAATGGAATTTCAGAAATAGTTTTATGTTATAGTTTTTAACCCTTTCTACCTCACTAGCCATACATAGCTCAAAGAGAGAGTGTAATATATGTTTGAGGTGCCCATCATGGGACATTCAATCTAAAGTTAATTGAACATCTGAAGTGAGATATTTGCTAGTTAAATTCTATTCTGAATAGAGTTAAATCATCCATAGTAAAAAATAAAATAAAATTGACTGCTGGTACTTTTCTTCTTGTTTGCATTACCCTCACATGCAAATGCGTAATCTATGAGCTAAGTAATCAAGAACTCGACATTTCTTTATCATATCAAGGACCTCTCTAGTTTTTAGCTGCTCACCTTTTGTACTCGATAAAAGGAATGTGTCAACTGTGTTGGCTTGTGCTTGTTCAAGACGACTCACCATTTCCACAAATATAAGCCTTTTTTCTTTTCATATTTGCTTATGATCATCGTTTCTCTCACAAGCATAAGCATGCGGGCAGGACAGTACGGGGGGTTACTTTTACCTGTATATTATCATGAATGGTTTAGAGCACTTTTCTAAGTTTAAGATTGTAATTTTTTTAAAAAAATATTTATTATTAAAATATTATTTTAATTCAATAATTTAAATTTTTAGATAATTGTTTTTAATTTTTATTAAATAAATAAATATAATAATATTTAAATTCACGACCACTTAATAATCAAAATTTTAATATTATATAAAAAATAATTTTAATTCAATAATTTAAAGACCACTTAATAATAAAAATTTTAATATCATATAAAAAATAATTTCAATTCAATAATTTAAACTATTAAATAAAATTTAATTTGCTATCCTATATATATAGCTTTTGACTCTATGCAATTGCTACCCTATATATATAGCTTTTGACTCTATGCAAAGGTGCCGAAAATTCGGTCACAAGGCATCAGATTATACGAATATCCAGTCGTGCCATTGCTTTGAACTTGCACAAGCTCTAGTCAACAACAATACCGTATATTTTGTCACTCCACATTGCAATGAAATTAAAAAATATAAAAATTAGATAAAAAAATATTAGTATAACTTTAGAAATTTTTTTAATAAGAAGCTAATTATACTGAATAAAAAACTCATTACTTTAAAATATTATACTTAAAAAAAAGTGCTTCTATATTTTGAACTTATAATGGTATATTTATTAGATCTCTCTAATTGTTTGTCAAAATTCAACATACTTTTTTTTTAAAAAATGATGTGGAATTAGATCCGGTCTAAAAGCTCAATTAATCATCACTTTATCTTGAATCAGGGACATTTGGACGAGAGGATAGTGAATAATGAATTTGGCTTTTAAGCTCATTTGTTTCATTGCATCTTATATTAGGGTTGGAGGCCATCCATTCATTTTTAATGTTTTTTTTTTTTTGGGATTTTGTTGACCTAACCCAAATGAACTCATAGCATCATACAAAGAAAAATATTCTAAAATTAAAAAACATAAAAAATAAAAATAAAAATAAATGATAACCATATGTAAAACAAATATCATGCTATGTATTTTATTTTATTTATTTTATTATTTTTTACTAAAAAAATGTTATGGAAATTTCGTTGGTAGGATAACGGATGACTGTCGCATGGAAAAATTAAATAAAAAAGGTATTATAAGGCACCACCCATTATTATTAGCTCACTGGCTCAAATGGCACAACCCATTATTATTAGCTCACTGGCTCAAATTCACTTTTTTTTTAATACATAGAACACTGACTTATTTATTTATTATTGAAAATATGATGAGAAAACACAACAAGAAAACACATAATCATGAACTAATGCGACATTAATTAATCCTGTAATGTTCTAAAACTCTGAAACTAGTTCGAACTACCCATTTGAGTGATTTTCCGATTGAAAAAGAAAATGTCCTTCTGAGGCCATGAAAGGTCTCTTCTTATTTGCTTTAGCAACAAGAAGCAATAATACTTTTCGAACTTCATTCGATATTTGTATTTCGACAGGTTATTCACGTTGAGATATATATGGTCAGAATTTCGAGTGTGGCTTTCAACTTCAAGGAAAGACACTGAATGCTGAGTGGATAGATCAGCTGATGGGCCACTTCAAATTCTCTTTCAAATCTCGTTCTAGATGTATATGAGTATGTTGCCGTAGCCATGTGGCCCATGCTATGAGAGCTTGGGATCTTTATGAGTCGGGGCACGTTACGACTCTGTGCATTTTGCCGCGCACTAGCTAATGGGAGCAGTTTGATCAGTCGACAATAATTGGGTTTAATGGAGTTTTTCTATATATCATTCATGGTTTCAACCAAATATGGATGGGTTTTATGGAATCTTTGGATTAAGATAGTCTTGATTTAAATATATAATTAATAGATTTGGCTTAATTACAACATGATATAAATTCAAACCATTTATTTAAAACATAGGTTTAAGTTTCTCATTTATAATTGTTTAATGCTTTTTTTCTTGATGGTAACATATTTTAATCTCGAAGGGACGATAAACGTGCCCCAACCCCCCCCCCCCCCAAAAAAAAAAACAAAACATAACGAGCAATTACACCAAGAGAAACCAGCAAAAATAGAAAATACCCAACATATTGGATATTTAAAATGTAATAATAGTTATTTTTTAAAGTATTTTTTATTTAAAAATATATTAAAATAATATTTTTTTTAAAATTTATTTTTGATATTAGTACATTAAAAAACCCAAAAACATTAAAAGAATAATTAAAAAAATTATTTTTCAAACTTTGATTTAAAAAAAACAAATTAAAACTCAATTTCAAACACGCATAGAAGTCTTCGGGATCATGATAATTAATGAACTCTCAACATAATGCGGCGGTGGATTTGGAACAATATTATATGCCTGATCCATGCATTTCTTTCCAAATGGGTGTGCAGAAAATTAAGAGCCAAATTCTACAATGTGGCTGTGAAGAAAGCTAATGAGGTGGGCAATTTTCATCACATCAGACTTGTTGCTGTGGAAAAACAGTATACAAATCAAGAAACGGACGTGTAAACTTAATGATCAAGATAGCAATTATTAGAATATAAAAGAGTGAAAGACCCATCTGTCTCCATTGTGAGAGGCAGTGAGGCACCATTTCTGAGCTTGCTCGGAACATTCAAGCTTAAAATTCAAACCCACACTCAAGCATTCGTTTGGCTAACAATTCATATTGTTCTTTGCATTATTTGTATCGATGATTCACTTCTTGTGATGTCATGTTGATGCTCGACCAATCCACTGTTTTATTGTTTATAGGTGATTCTTCTAATGCATGACGTCTCAATAGTGTTGTTGACGTTGAGCTACTAGTTGCAATATCAATACATTTATTCAAAATAAACTTATTAATATGTTTTGCATCGACTAGGATAGTAATGGGATGGATGACTTTATTTTTTTCTCTATGGAATTTAGGATTTCTCATTGATATATTTAAAAATCAATTATTCGATAAATATAATATAATATAACCGAGTTCAGATTTTTATTAAAAAAAATTGTATTAAAGATGACAATCTAATCAAAAGCCAATAAATACTAGCATAAATGAATAAGTTTTTTTTTTTTTATATAGTTAGTTTATCCAATTGAAAATAAATATGATATAGAGACCATCCAAACTCAAAATCTAAAATGAAATATATATTTGTATTTTATAGATACATAGGTAAATATACTTACACCTTTTGAAATCTAATATGATACATATTTATAACATTTATAATTTTATCATTTAATATATATATATATATTGTATTTTTTTGTTGAAGAATAAATAATAAGTGGATAATAAATACATGAAAATATCTAATTTTTTCACACAATAAATAATAAATCAAATAAAAATATATATATATAAAAAAAACCAAACCATTTCCATTCCTAAAAGCATTACCCGATCATTATCGGTTTTGTCAAGTGCCCATCAGTGGGCTGTTGTTTAGGACAGTTGGTTTTTCTTGGGCCCAAGCCCCTTGAGCACAAAATAGAGCACTAAGAATATTATCTAAAACCGAGCCTACATTTCTAAGCCATCAAAGCACAAAACCTTTTATTTCTTTAAAACCTTTTATTTCTAGGTGTTTAATATTGCATTTTAAAAGTATTTATAAAAAAATTTAAAAATTTTATATTTTAAATTAATATATTTTAGATATTTTTATATTATTTTAATATACTATATTAATTTTTTTTTTAAAATAAATAATATTATTTTAATATATTTTAAAATCCCATATCCATATCCACAGTCTACATGGTTTTTCTATTTTCAACGTCTAGGGTTTTTGAATACTGTCCTCGCTTCCATCCATGGCAATGGCTTCCCCAGCCAACAAAAAGAAACCCAGAAGCAACCAAACCCCAGAATCCCAATTCAGCTACAACCTCAACTTATATTCAAAATCCAAAGACTTACACTCTGCTTTATCCCTCTATGACACTGCAATATCCCAAAACACTCGTCTCAATCAGCACAACTTCAACACTCTCCTGTACCTCTGCTCAATCTCACTCAATGACCCATCAACTAAAGACTTGTCCTTGCAATATGGGTTTCGAGTTTTTGATCATTTGGTGTCTAATGGGATCAAACCCAATGAGGCCTCGATCACAGCTGTTGCTAGACTAGCTGCTGCTAAAGGGGATGGTGATTATGCTTTTGATTTGGTTAAAAATATTGGGGTTTATAATGAATTGCCAAGGTTGAGGACTTATGATCCTGCATTGTTTTGTTATTGTGAGAACTTGGAGGGTGACAAGGCTTATGAAGTGGAGGAGCATATAGGGAGAATGGGGGTGGGTTTAGAAGAGGTGGAGATTGCGGCATTGTTGAAAGTTAGTGTGGAGACTAGAAGAGAGGAGAGGGTTTATGGGTATTTGCAGAAATTGAGGAAGATGGTGAGGTGCGTGAGAGAAGAGACTGCAAAGGTTATCGAACATTGGTTTGAGGTTTTTGAGGGTAATGGGGTGGAATTGGATGTGGGACTAGTGAGGGAGGCGGTTTCAAGAAATGGGGGAGGGTGGCATGGGCTTGGATGGATTGGGAAGGAGAAGTGGGTGGTGGGGAGAGGAAGTGTGAATGCTGGTGGAAAATGTTGTTGTTGTGGGGAGCAGTTGGTTTCTGTTGATATTGATGATGATGAAACGGAGAGGTTTGCTGAGTCTGTTGCTGGATTGGCTATGGAAAGGGAGGTTAAGGCTAATTTTAGCGAGTTTCAGGTGAGTGGTGGATGTGTTTATTTTTCTACTTGGTTCTGTGTGGTTTTTGTTCATATAGGAGTGGATTGTGCATTAGTTTTAATGTTCACTCTACGCGTATTTTGTTGGTATTGTTTGTGGTCTACGCTAAATTTGAAGATTTATAATGATCCAGGACTTTGAATAAAAAAAGAGAGAGGGAGATAGCGATTGGGTGAATTGGTGTTATCACTGTGAGTGAGTTGGTGTTTTTTCATCGAGTGATTGTGACATTATCAATGTTTTATACGGTACATTCTCTGCATATACATGTGATTGACGATAGTTGCTAAGCATTTTCTTCACATGTGCATATAGTTATTCCTTATTATGTTGGCATAGTAATTGAGGCATTGTTTTGGAATGCTATTGCCCTTTAACATGCTTTGCCTTACTAACTGGCAGCGTTCTTTAAGTACATTAAATAGATGGAAGGATCAAATTCAGTTTAAATATTGTGATTTTTGTATATTTAGATAGGCGATCTTTTCTAGCTCAACTTGGTTAAAAAACTTGAAAATGCTATTGTGTTTTCATAGAAAACTCAATTTCATGATGATTTGGGAGTGATATAGAATTTAATTAGCAGTTCCTTTTAAGAAAATAATTGCTGCTCTTATCATTCAAATCTCTTTATTCATAATTCTCTCTCCTAACATTCTGTATATTATACAATAGAATTGGCTAGAAAAACATGCCAACTATGAAGCAATAATGGATGGAGCAAATATTGGACTTTATCAGCAGAATTTTGCAGAAGGCCGAGTTAGCATTTCTCAGGTTGTAGATGTACATTTGAACTGATACTTCTTTACCTATCTCTTCCATTAGGTATGCTTCTTTAGTAATTGCTATTTTGTATAACCCATTTGCTATATTTTCTCACAAATTGAAATAGAGCAGCTTGATGCTGTTATAAAAGACCTGTACAATCAGAGTGGGAAAAAACGGCCACTTATTATTTTGCACAATAAGCGTCTCCGAGCACTGCTGCAGAATCCTTCCACTAGGGAGCTGATTCAAGAGTGGATAGAAAAAGATGTTCTTTACACCACGCCTCATGGTTCCAATGATGATTGGTATAAGCTTCTAGAACTGATGCTTTTATGTATGTGCGGTTATTTCTATAGTTGAAGGATTATTTGTTGTAAAAATCTCCTTTTCACCTAATTTTTTTGGACTTTAGACTATTATTGTTCTAATTCACTTAGAGCTTGAAAGTTTTCAAGCATGGTTTTTCCAAAATGTTGGCTTGATTGGATGTGTCAATTCCTTTGTCCTGAAAAGCTTTTTTTTTAATTTGTATATGTATTCTATTAATAAGTTCTTCTGTATTTCAGGTATTGGCTATATGCTGCTGTCAAACTTAGATGCTTGCTAGTAACAAATGATGAAATGCGAGATCACATTTTCGAACTACTAGGAAGCGACTTCTTTGTCAAGTGGAAAGAAAGACATCAAGTATGTGCTATGTCATAATTAAGCATAACTCTAAAAGCATGGTTATTTCACTGTTCATTATCTTACATATTATCGAGGATTACAATAGTATATTTTTTAAAAATCTTAACTTTGATCCTTGAACTTTTCTTTTGCACAATTAACTTCTTTTGAGCTAAAATTAAAGCCCATTTGTATTTTTTCAGGGGATAAGGGTTGAATTGAAAGACAAGATTAAAGTTAAAAATTAAGATAAAATAGGTGGCGGTTTGCAATTGATTTAAAAAGTTCATTTGTGTCCCTTATCTTTTTAAGCTATTAGTTAACCAATCCCTATAATTTTTAAAATATACATTTTTGGTACCAAACTTCATTTTCATTTTTTTTAGTTCTTTTTTTGGTGGAGGAGAAGAAGGGTTTGTTGGATTTTCGACTAAGGAGAGAAAGTTGGTGTTGAGGAAGATTTAGGTCCTGCCAAAACAATCGATTTTATTTTCAAATGGTTCTTATATTATGAGGAGGTTATGATTAAGTGTTTTTTTACCTTGAAAACAATTAAGCTTTAAAAGATTTTGGGTTTTGGACCTTTTTTTTTGTGCGTTTTTGAAGGTTGTGGATTAGTTTAACAAGGTTCCTGGGGTGTTTTGGATAAAAAATTAGTTGAAAATGAGTTTTTGGATAAAAAAACAAATAACCCTGTTTTTCTGGCCATACTAGTGGCTAGATGGTGGGATTTTCAAATGACACATCATCTTTTTTTCAAATAAATTAGGTTATCCGCCCATTGAACTTAAAAAAAATATCAAAGGCCCGTGCGCATGCCTTTTCTTGATTGGGCCTGGTGTTGGGCTTGCATATGAACCCCAACAACACCTGACATCATTTCTTCTTCTTCTTCTTTTATATATATATATATTTTTTGATGGCTTTGTGATTTGTCAAATAATTTTTAAATTTTAATTAATACCCCTTTTTCTTTGATTTTTTTTCTTTTATTTTTTAGCCTTTCTTGAATAATGATTATTTTTTAAATTATATGAGGTGTGTTTACTTTTTTCAATGATTCATCTATATTTTTTATGTATATTTTATATAGATTAAATAATTTTTATAATATTTTTAATACATGCAACCTTGCATAGTGTTTTTTTTTTTTACTTTTTTTTTGTTCAATAAATTTCATGTGTGTCAATTTGTATTATAAATTGATTTTCATAAATAGATTTATTAGATACAACCAGGTAAATGATTCATAATATAATATTTAATATCTTTATCTATATTAGTATCTTAATTTTTCCATCTATGTTTTTATTCATCATTGATTACTTTTTTTTTCATTTATTTACAGAATCATTAGTGGTTGATTTAATTGGATACATGCATGAGTTTTTTGATTTACATTTATGATTTTTTATGTAAAAAGCCATGTTGAAAAATTCAACATGTTCAAATTTATGTGATCATGTATTAGTGTTTTCAATTTGATTATTATTCTTATGATTTCTCTTATTTTTTTCAATTGTATTTTTATTTATCGTTGATTATTTTTTTCATTTATTTACACAATGGTTAGTGGTTTATTTAATTGGATGCATGCATAAGTTTTTTGATTTACATTTACTATTTTTTATGTAAAAAACCGCGTTGAAAAATTTGATATGTTCAAATTTATTTGATTATTTATTGGTGTTTTCAATTTAATCATTATTCTTATGATTTTCTTTTATATCTATGTTTATCATTGCTTTTTTTTATTTTTTCAATATGAATAAAACCAACTTATTTAGTTGGTTGGACTAAAACGTGTTTGCTATGCTGTAATATTTTATTAGAAAAATAATACAAATCCATAGCGTAGCGTGGGCACCAATAACTAATCCTCTCTAACTGGTGTCATTCTAATTTCCTGGATGATGTTATTAATAACCGTTTCTTCTAAGTAAATATGGTGAAGCAATCATTTCTAAAGAAAATGCAAGGCATCTGCTATTCTGCTTGACCATTATAAGTCTCTCTTTTTAACCAAATATATTATTGTAGTGGTACATTTTATTGAAGACATCTTAGACTTAAATATCCCTTTTGTCGCACATAGTTTTCCCTAATTATTATTTTCTAAATCTGACTTTAACTGTGATTTTAATACTAAGCATTGTAACATTCATCAATGTAAATGTCTTTTTTGAGTCATTTTGGCTAGTGTTTTGTGAATTAAAATGGAGTTGTTTTCTTCCATGTATAGGTGTTGAGACTTATGTGAAAGTATGTTGTTGAAAATGAGACCGACTAACTTGATGCACCATAGGAATTTCAGGTGCAACTATTTTTGATTAATAATCGTTATATTTCTCTTCTCAAGTATGTAAATATTGAGGCCTATATGAGGTTAACTTGTGCTGTCATATGCTCGTGAAGAAAGCAATGCCTGCTGTTTCGGGTATAATAACCATCTAGGTTCATCTTACCTTTATTGATGGATTATATGCTTAGATATATTCCTATCCATGGATGAGTAACTAGAGGTTTTGGTTTCTTTTCAACACCTAACTTTAGATGAAGTATCTTTCCTGCACCATTTGGGTCTATGGAGTGCTTCACCCTTCTTAAAATAAGGGTATGCCATGGTTGCTTTGGTTTATTCCACGTTCGGCAACTAAAAGAGGTTCCATTGTCCCTAGTTGTTTCTAAGTTATTTCCTTGTTTTGGATTGTTTTTTCTGCATCAGGAAAGCACTCCTTTATGGATTTAGTAGTGTTTGGTGAATTATCATTGACGATTCTGACTTTTTTTTAATTCCTGCTTGCAGGTTCGATATACTTTTGTCAAAGGGAACTTGGAACTCCAAATGCCGCCTCTGTTTTCGATAGGAATCCAGGTATTGATTCTAATAAGGCCCAGTACTGATGCAGAACAGCAGTCTTCAAGTTGTTTAGTTATAGGTCTATTTTTTTCTCCTCTTATTCTTTCCTTTCTTTTTATAATTACGCTTTTAGTGTTGTTGAGATGCCAGTCTTTTGGTTTCAGGAATCAGAAAATGGGTCGTGGCATGTCCCTGTAGCAGGTGATGACAATGATTCTCCACAAAGCTGGCTGTGCATTTCTAGGCCAAGATCTTGTGATGCTCTTAAAGAAGCTGCGTGCATGGAAAAGTCGAAAGACAGTAATGATTGTTGCTGCAATAGTAAATTACCGACCTTTGGCAGACCAGAAAGTCTTGAAAGTTCCAAACATAAACTCCATATCCGAGATTCTTTTCAAGAATCTGATGGTAAAATCATAGCTCTGACTGGAAAAAGGAAAGAGAGGTCCTCATCTCCTTCCTAGAGCGTATTCCTTGAGACCAGCGCCATTACAAGTTAATTTTTGGCTTTTAAGCTGTAATAATTGTTATAATGTACCCTAACCCCTTTGGGGAAAAAGAGCACACACTGCATATACCAGCTCGTTTCTATGCAGGGAAAGTTATAATCAAATTTACATTTTTTTTCCTCGTTTTAGCACATGATTTTTTTATTTATTTTTCATTTTAATCCAACACTTCCGTTTGGGCTTGCTTTCTTGTTTCTTTTTTCTTTTCCAGTCTATAATTTCCTTTTTCTCGGGGGGCAAAAATAGGATGATAACATCCGACATGATACTGATGTTTTCACTTATTTAAGGTTATGAATCACGGTTCTTCAAGTTAGGAATAATTTCTTCTGCTTTATAATTCTTACCAAGAAACCATAGTACAGCATTGTTTTAACCATCATTATAGTATTTATTCTATGATAATTTTGATAGTGATCAAGATGCTAGTGAATATATCTCATAGTTAATTAATTATTTACACTTACATGTGTATTGATTTTATTTATGTAAAATATATTTATAATTAGTAAAAGTTTTTTAATTTTTAATATTTATTTATATACGTTTAATGAATTTAATCTTTAATTAATGAGTATAGCAAAGAAAAAATATATGAGACAAAAATATTTTAAAAAAGAATTATAAAGTTTTTATAATTATGAAATTTTTATTATATCAAAACATTATTTTTAATTATTTTTATTAGTATTCTATTAAAATTGAACATTAACTATAACTGTTAAGATTGATTAATATATATATATATATCATATTTTTTTATTTATGATATAAAATAGTTGCTCTTGTAAACAAAAGTATAAGAAATACCTGAAACTAATATTTAGAAACTTAAAGATGACATGACATTGAATTAATTCGTAAAATAATTTAAAATAGAGAGATCATATATATTTTTAAAAAAACTCACATAACAATTGTATAAATAATACTTATATTTAAAATCATCTAGTTATCTTATATAAAAAATATTGTATTTTAATTTTAAGACATATTATTATAATTAGAGATAACAAACATATATATACATTAAATATAACATAAACTACATTGTTAGATCAACTTCCTTGTATTTCATTCATTTACTCAGGTAGTAAACACCATTATTTTCTTAAGGTCTTGAAATAATTTTAATTTACAATAGTTTTCATCACTTGATTCATGCCCTACTCTACTGTAGTGTCCATCTTTAATATAATATAATCTGTTGTCTTCACTCATTCGATTCTCCACTTAGTAGAAATTAATATTCATCGTCTTCAATTATTGGAGAACACATAAAAAAGATGGAATTAGGTGTGAAGAATTATTGTTGATTGTAATATGAAAGTGTTATTTTTCTGTAGATAGTAAAAAAATAAAATAAATTTCTCATCAGCAGTCATAAGATTTAAATAAATTAATAAATTTTCTCATGAGCAGTCATAAGATTTAAATATAGAAAGTAAAAAGAACACAGGTCTTTAACCACCAAACCAAATCGATATTAATTTAACCTGGGTGAGTCCACATATTTCAACACAAATTAATTAAATAAAATAAGTTTTTCTTTTATTTAACTCACTGCCAATCATAAATCCATTACATGGGCAATCGAAATTAACATAAGATGATCGATATTAGAAATATTTAGATATAAATTCTCAAAATAAAATAAAAAAAGGATATAATTGTTGAAATAATTATTTCATCACGTATTTAACAAGACCAGGAATATGAACATTCATCATGTAGTCTTCCCAATCAATGCTAATAGGATCAAAGTAAAAAACGTTTGCTTCAGGACAAGTCTCTCTTGATGATAGTCGCAACTTCTCCGCATTCACGTCATCAAATCTACATAAAATAACAATTTGTCACTGGCAAAACAATATTAATTGATCAATTAAATATAATAATAAAAATAAATTATACGTACATGCCCTCAAAGAACACATAAGGTTTATAAAGATCTACCAAACGCATCAGTTATACTAGCTTTACTTTCCGATCAAGAACAGTATATACGTCTTCATATCTTTTAAATAGCAGTGTGTTGAACAATTGCAATGCCTATGAGTTAAGAAAAAAATAATATTAGCTAAAATAGAATTAAAAAAACGATAAGAAAGTAGATAAACATAATAAGACTTTCTAATAAAATCAGGCTAACACCTTCAATGGCAGTAGATAACGAATGGTCATGTATGTGTAGAACTTAGACATGCTGCTAAAAACAGTTCCTCTGCCAATTTTCACAATCTCTCCTTCCTTATTAATCCAGGGGTTTTCACTGAAATAACGAAAACTAAAATCATGAAGATTTGAGAATTTCACTGGATTTCTCATCGAAGAACCTAAATGATAAACGTTCTCTGGATGTTGTTTGGCCCGGGCTACCATGGCCACAGTAATTGCATTGGCAACCATGTCAGCTGGTATCTGCAATATATTCAGAATGTGTTAGTTTTTTTAATCTTTTATCACGCTACCTGAAGGCCCCCATTGCTTTTTTGAATTTTTACATGCATGTATATGTGTTCTCAGGTTAAACCAATAAGGCCTCTGGCTCACTATTTCACTGGTCCAACAACTAGTTTCATCGGTTCGATTGTGGTGCCTAGTCAACATACAAGTTAATTTTTATGTTCAGCTAGCCAAATCAAGTTAATTTATATATATTGGTTGGTTCTGATAACACTTGTAGTCTGTGTTTTTCTTTATAATTTGGATATTTACATTTCTGGTCTATTTATGAATCATAGGAGAAAAGGAGAGTTCTAATTACCACGTCAAGAGTTGCTTGCGGGCCAGAAATAAAGCACGAAACTTTGCCTTTACCGTAGCCCACAATTATGCTATCAATAGTTCTGTGAAACGATGGAGATTAATTTGAAATATGAGATTTAAGAAATAAAACAGAAAAAGACGTATACACACATGTTAATGAGTGTTTTCTGTGTGTATGAACTTAGTTAACAATATATATATTACAAAAGAAAGACTCACAGGCACAAAAAAATTGCAATTTAATTTAATCTCTTTTTTTTTTATTTCTTGTAATTTGGTTTTTTATATTTACTAAGTATCTAGATATCATAACCTATATTATTAGATTCAGCTATTCCTAACAAATTGATTTGATGACCTATCAATTTAGAGCTTGGTTCAAGTTATTTATTTTAAATTATTTTTAAAAATTTATTTAGTTAAATTCTGATGAGATTTATTCGGGTTACCTTCAAGAATTTTAAATAATATTTTTTTAATACTTTCTAAATTAAATATTTTTAATAAATTAAAATAATATTATTTTAAGCTTGACAAATCCATAATCAGTTGAATCTGGCCATGTCTACTAACCATGCATAACTCCTCAAGAAAAGAAAAAACAAATACCGCTCAATGCCGAGATCCTTCATAGCTGAAGTGATTTCTTTCTCTGGAACATCTTCTAATACGAGTTGATTTAATTTCTCTTGCACCATTTTCTTTTCAAAGTTGATATCTACTTTATCGTCACCCCTTTCGGCCATACCCATATGGTGTGGTTGCTCCATTATCATTCCAGCATCTTCGCCACACACATAAGCTGAAAGGCTTGACATTTTGTTGATGGTAAGAGTTAGGTAATGCGCATTAAAGTACAGCAAACAGATCAACATAATATTAATTTTCATCGACCCCCTCCAAAAAAAAAAAAAAAACATTGCAAGGGCTGGTGTTTGTTAATACTTGGAAATCAAATAAAAGGAAATCTGCATAATTAAATTGTACTCATCAGGGATGCTTCGTGCATGTGTTTGGCTAGATGGTTTTGCTTGCAATATAAGGATTTAATCAGTATTAAAGACGGATCATCGTGGGGGACTATGATTGGTTCGGAATTGGCTTAGAATGAAGGATATATCAAGGTGGAACTTGAAGTTTCGAAATTTTCATACTTATCGGGAGAACTTCGCTATGAAACGTCAAAGCATTTTGCTCCTCTAAAAAAAAAAAGAAAGTGTACTCACCGGTGGATACATGGACAAGCATCTTCACGTTAACACATTTCTTTGCAAAGTTTAAGACATGCAAAGCTCCCAGTGTATTAATGCCAAGTGCAACATGGTATCTTTTGTGTATCGCATGAATAGGTTCGAGCACACATGCAAAAACAAAGAAAGAATTAGCTTGTATTGACATTATTTAACGAAAGAGGAGATTTAGTGTTCCTATAATTTTGTTTAATTACCTCTGATCAAAGTTGGTAGTGGCAGCAAAATTAAGCACAACATCAATTTCTCTCCACATTTCATCCTTCAAAGAACAGTCCTTCACTCCCAACTCTTCATAAGAGATGTCACCAGGGACAGGAGTCACCTTTTCTGATATAAAGGAATGTAGACTTGCACCATGTTTCTCCCTTATAAACTTAAACAATTCCTTCCCTATGACCTATCCAAATCTTTTGCATGCATATAATCCAATAAATTATAATTGGAATGCCCCAAGACTTGATAAATTTTAAGTTTGAGTACTTATTCATAGTCCTAAACTTTTGTAAAGATGTGGTTATATCCTTTTAATTTAATGATAAATTAAAATGTGAGATTATTTAGTAAACTCTAACTTAGTCTTTTTTTTTCAAAAAAAAACATAATTCAGTCTCTTAATTAAAGTTAATTATTAATTATATTTTAAATTTCTAAATTCCCTTTCAATTTTGTCTATTAAAAACAATCTAGGGGCAACATCGATTTTTAAAGCTAAAGGGATTAATTAGCTATCTATTAAAAAACTCAAGAAACAAATAATAATCTACAGAAATTATTTGTGTATATTGGCCGGTATAATGATATGATTCAATGCAGCCCCATCTTTCCCCGAGCCAAGAGATTGTTGAGCAAATCGAAGCTTACTACTGACCGGTTTGTGGGAAACTGGTAACCAAAAATATTTATTGGATTATATATGTGATGGCTTGACATACAGTACGTGGAATTAATTTATTCATTTGTTTCTTTAATGGAATTAGCATTTTCTTTTTCCTGCCCATGATGTGCAAACTTGATTTTTAGGTCAAGTGATGACAATGGCCAACGCTGGTCAAATTCTTTATATTTATATTTTATTTATTATTTATAAGATAAAAAAAATTAGATATTTATAAAGTTTATTTATTAATTGGGTATGCAATTAATATTTATTATTTATTAATTAATAAAAAATAAAATATATATACTCATGTAATAACTTATTCATTATCTATTGAATCCAAAAAATACCCCATCATTAGAATTGAATCGGTTGAGTCTGTATTTATCCATTCAAATTAAATAACCATCTTTACACATGACGTCCTGAGGGTATGAGACACTTCAACATAGTCATGGCCTCGTCGGATAGGAACAAGGGCGGTCTGATATCTCCCTTCTCATTTCATAGCATATATATATATATACAAGTTTGAAGATAATTACCATTTTAAAACTTAAGTCTTTTAGACGAAAGTAAGATTTAATTACCAAATCTAATTCTCCCATCAAATTACGTTATAATATATGATTTTCATCTTCTTCTTGCTTAATGGATCGAATTGAACGAAAGAATGGGTTAATTTAAACCAATTTCAAGTAATTTTTTCATCAAATTATGTTACAATACATGACATTCGTTTCCTTCTCGTTTAATGGATCGGATCAAATGGAAGAAAGGATTGGTTAATTTCAAACAATGTAAAGCCATTTTGAAAGTGATGCAGATCATAATATTTTATGCATGTAACCTGACAATATTCAAGTTTTGCCCTTGTGAATAACTACATAAAATCGTCAATTAGGTTACTTATCCACATGGGGTGTCTGATTAGGCAAATATACAGTATAGTTTGGAAAAAGAAACATGAAATCCAATGACCTGCAAGAAAAGAAAGAAATTCGTTTACTAATATTGTGTTGAAAATGCATAAGCGAGGGACCCAGAAGGAGCTCTTAGCCTCTAATTTACCGGTGATTTGCGTTTTGAGCGGAATTTTCTGTAACCTGAATGGTGGTAGAGAGACGTGTGTGAGCCATGGAAATTAGAATGAATGAAAGTGTCCTTCTAACGACAAATGTTAGTTTACAACAATTTTATCAAGCAGTTGATCCATAACTTTGATAGGTCACATGAAAGGAATTGATTTGTCGGGCATAAAAGATTTTGGGGGTATGTTCACACCAAAGATTTCATGAGTGAAACTGTCAATTAAAGAATCTTGGATTTTTTGTTTGTTTGATTGTTTGGGATTGATTTTAATTGATTTTTTTTTTGTGATTTTATATTATAAGTCAAAAGTGTAATGAAATTTGATCAGTATTGATTTAAAGTTGTGTTTTTATTGAATTAAATATTGTTCGTTAAGATCTTAGCCATCCACTTCTTTTTGAAAATTTTAAATTAAAAGAAAATAATAAACCATATCCAAGGGGCAAAAACTTACATGGCGAAGAGGTTTGATCGAGCACTTGTTAATAATGACATTCTCCTCTTTGGGGCAATGGCAGGTTAACATCCTTTTTGGCTGTATAATTGGATTGGAGATATTCCTTTAAAAGTAGCCTTCCCCAGGTTATTTCTTTTGTCTTCTTCTCAATTTTCTGTGTTTGCTGATATAGAAGCTAGTGCATGTGTCCAAAGGAGGCCCTGGTATATATCACAACTTTTCTTTGCAGATGACGTTCTCCTCTTCAGCAAATCTCAAAATTCGCAAGTTAGACTCATGAATACTGTGTTATCTGACTTTTGAAGTGCCTATGGTCTTAAAGTTAGCTATGATAAATCGCGATTTATGTTCTCCAAGAATGTTTCAAGAAGGAAAAGGGCAATGTTTACTCAATTTTCTTCCATTAGAATTGCAAGTGGGCTTGGTAAGTACTTGGGGTTTCCATTTATACAGGGCCAGGTGAAAAGAGCTGATTTCAATTTTATTTTTTATAAGATTAGCGGGAGCTTAGTGGACTGGAAGAATAGACTCTTGAACAAAGCAGGGAAGCTAACCCTAGCAAGATCCGTTATGTCTACTATTCCCATCAATCCTATGCAGAACTATTGGCTTCCTCAAGCAACTTGCATGGTTATTGATAGGGTTGTGCGTAACTTTATATGGGACAATGGGAGTCAGGTAATGGGTTACACCTGGTCAAGTGGGAGATAGTTACATGCCCTAGCTATGAAGTATTGGGGTCTGTGTGTGAAGGAGGCTTGACTTTCTAACGTGTCTTTGTTGGGGAAATTGATTTGGAATATTTTGAACATCCCTCATAAACCTTGTAATGATCTTGACTCATAAATATTTATGGAAGCAGGATTTATTTCATCAGCATCGGCATTCTTCGGGTTCCTATACTTGGACTTCAATCTACAAAGCCCTCAGGTAATTGAAGAATGGATTCCTGTATAGGATTGGCAAAGGGGAGTTGTCTTTTTGGTATGATAATTGGTTGGAGGAAGGAGTGTTAGCTTCATTGATTCCAACAGTGAATATCACTGAGGTACATGTGAAAGATTTTTGGCAGGGAGACTCATGAAACTTTGGAAGTCTTGCAACAAGTATCCCTGATGATTTGAAGTTTCGGATTATAGCCAACCCAATTCCTAGCAGTACGTACAACATTAGAGGATTGTCTTGTTTGGAAAAGTTCTGTTTCGAGTGAATACAAAACACAACTGGCTTGCTCTTGTCTATAGTTCATTGCTTGATCAGGGATTGTTCGATGGCTAAATTGATATGGGATAGATCGGGCCGGGTTTGGAAATGCTTCAGGCTTTAATTGTACAAATATAAAAGGGTGGATTATTTCCTTTTGCTTCTGCAGATAGAGCTCATTTATTCCTAGCTGCGCCAGCTGTGGTGGATATGGTGACAACGAAACATGGTAGTTCTTGTTGGGGATTACACAGGTGATGATTGGTTGATGAGGAGAATATACAGGTTGGCAGATGATTGTGAGATGACAGGGGGAAAGTCTCTTATGAAAGCTGCTAATTTGAATATTCTCGTTTCATGGCAAAGACCGGCCCAAGGGTTTTACTGGATTTGCAGGAATTGGATGTAGCCTTCTTCCGGGATTGTTAGCTTTGAAACATGGGCTACAACTAGCGTGAAGTTGGGGTTATAGACAGATTCCTTATAATTCTGACTCCAAATATGTTATCACGATGCTGTCTGCAGGCCATACTAAGTATCACAAGTATAGAGTCATTCTTATTGTTGATATCAAGGAGCTGCTGTCAAGGAACTGGGTGGTCCGAATTTCCCATACATGTAGGGAAGCTAATGCTTGTGCTGATTTTATGGCAAAGTGTGTTGCAAGAGGAGCAACGGGTTTACAAGTCTGGTTTGAGTCAGCTTCTTTTAATAACAATAAAAATAATAATAATAATAAATAGATCATAATATTTATTCATTCTTGTACACGAGCTAGGTACCTTGCACAAATTTCTCCTGCCAATATATCCTACACTCTTTGTGAGGATTCAATAAATTAGGTGGCATTGCATTGAATAATACACTTGAAGAAAGTTCTTAAACCACGTGAGCCAGCAGCTAAACATAATCCTGCCTTGATGATGATAATAATAATAATAATAATAATAATAATAATAATAATATTGCTTCAAAACACAGTGATATTTGAAATTCCAAGAACAAATAATCTAGCTAGCTGCCGGTAATCATCATCTGAACACGTACTTTACCACCCCTGGAATGTGGATATTAGTTAAGTAGTCTTCCCAATCAATTTCCTTGGGATCAAAGTAGAACATATCGGTCTCTATGTTGTTCTCTCCTGCTGCCATTCGCAACTTCTCTGTGTTCATGTCATCAAAGCTGCATTCGAAATGTGAAGATCTTATGTCATAAGAGTTATATGGATATGAAAAGGTTATTTTTGTAGATTAAAAACAAGATTAATTGTGTACGTACACTCCCCTGAAGAACAAGTATGGCCTGTAAAGTTCCACTAATTTCATCACGAATTTGATCTTTTTATTGAGATCAGTGTACATGTTCTCGAAATAATGGCAAAATGCGATATTTGCTAATTCCAATCCCTATACAAAAAACATATATATAATTAACATAATAAATCAAGAGATTAATTGGTAGGTAGGTAGTGTTTTGAGATCTTGAACAAACCTTTAGCAATAGCAAGTAACGAATTGCCATGTATCTATGGAAGTTAGCCATGCTGCTTAACATTTTAACCCTACCAACCTTGACAGGCTTTCCATCCTTGCCAATCCAAGGTTTCTTGGTGAAATAATCAAAGGCAAAATCTTGAAGATTAGTGTATCTCACGGGATTTCTGACAGAGGACCCCACTTGATAAATTGCATCGTCGAACCGTCGATTAGCATGAGCTACCATGGCTACAACTATGGCATTCACCACCATGTCTGCTGGTATCTGCACAGAATCAATCATGTCTCAACAGTTCCTTTTCTTTTCTTTTCCTTCTTACCAAAGGACTATTTATTCAATCATGTCAAGAAATCAACGACGAACCAACAATTAAAGACTGAAAATTGGCTTAACTCACCACATCAACTATTCCTGTAATATCCCCAAGAAAGCATGTTAGCCTACCTTTCCCATAACCAACAGCTAGGCTATCAATAGTTCTACAAAATAAACAAATTACCGCATTGCTTTTAGGAAGATTAATTTTATCCATAAACAAGAATGTCAAATGCAGCAGCATAATACTAGACATGTACCTGATACCTTCAATCCAACCAGGGAAAGGTTCTTTCAAAGTACTGGTGACAATGGTGGGGCGTATGATGACTACAGACAAATTTTCCTTCAGGTCTCCCACAAGCATCTCTCCCATTGCCTTTGTAAATACATAAGTGTTTGGCCATCCATACACCTTTGCCCTAAGTGCCATTAATTAATTAATTTTGTCAAATTTTGATCTAATTCATTGCACATGCAAATTTTGGGAGGACAAGCTAATTAGTTCCTCACATTTATGTCAAGAAATACATGGACGTACGTTGTATGTCAATTTCACTTCCATCTCTTTCCGTGGCACGCCATTAATTTAGTTAGTATGTGTGTGTGGGAGGTGGTGGGGTGGGGGGGGGGATAGTGAAAGCTGAGATATCCCCCAGCTTCATTTTCCAATTGAATATTGAGGTGGGCATAAGTTGCAACTGTTTAGTTGATTTCTAGTGCTTGGGTATATTTCATTTTCTTTCTTTTTTAAATGGAGTAATTTAAATAAATATAAACAGATGCAACTGATACCCACCCCAATTCAGTTGGAAAATGAAGCTGGGGGATATATCAGCTTTCACTATTCCCCATATGAATTAATATATACTTTCAATTAGCCTCCCCAGCTGGAACTGTTGCGTTGTTCCCATTTGATTTAAAAAAAAAAATGAAAAAAACCAGTGGCTTACACTTCGGTTCTAGCTAGGTCGCTGGAAGCATGTCAATTTGTTTAAAGTTGAAGGTGAAGTTCGAGAGGCCGAGGCAGTTCCAGGGTTTGGTCAGATTCCTTAAATGTTATGAAGATCCACCTTACTCATGCCATGCACGAAACACAGATCATTTTAAGTATACTAGGATGTTGTGAATAAAAATAACATTAATGTTCTTGTCATTTCAGCAGGGTCCTTCCTTTGGGATCCCTTGAACACTTGATGATGTACTTGGTATATTTGTTGCTGTACATAAATATTTTATAAACTAATTATTTCTATGTTGAAGACTAAGAATCACATAACTTAAATTTTTTAGTTGAATTTATACTAGTGAACAGTTCAAATAGATTTGTTAATGCGGTGTTTGGTGTTTTTTAAGGCGAAATTAACTTTTGTTAATTTCACTAGTTTATTTTCAAGAAATTATAAATCTTTCTATTATTTCTACGATAATATTTAATAATATAAGGGTTACTTTCATTCTAATGGCAAATCTGGAAATTGAAATGCCAGAAATCAAAATAATATATGGAGGGCTATGCTTATGAACATAATACTATAGAGTGATTATAACTACGGGTTTGAAAAATTTTTCATGACTAACCTTTCGATGCCCATGTCTTTCATGGCCTCTTTAATTGCTTCAGCGGTGGCTCCTTCAGCTTGGAGCTCATTCAATTTCTGATCAACTAGTTTCTTCTCTTCATTGATGTCTAATCCCGAGACACCGTTAAGTGTGTCACCCCAGCCGTATGAAGTCTCAGGTATCAGCCCTGCCCTCTCCCCGGAAACATAAGCTGAAAAAAATACCGCCTTCCATAAGGTTGACAACATGCTGATAATTTTACCCTCTAACTTCTTAGCAACAATTAAGATATAAAATTATACTAGCATAAATTCTATATTAGCTATCATATAGTATGGCCAAATTATTAGAGGTAATTAAGTGTATCGAAATGATGAAATATAAATACTAACCAGTTGATACATGGACAAGAACCGTTAGTTTAACACATTTCTTGGCAAAACATAAGACGTGCATAGCTCCCATTGTGTTGATGCCAAGTGCAACATCGTATCTATATTAAATATTCCAAAAAAAAAAAACAGAAAATCAACCACTTTGTTTTTCAGTCTTTGTTATTTTGGAGAGGGACAGCACAGAAAATAAAATAAAATAAAATCAGCCAACGGTTCTTGTCTACCTTTCATCAAAATTGGTTGTTGCAGCTAAGTTAACAACAACATCCAATTGACTCCAAATCTCCTCCCTCAAATTCGAGTCTTTCACTCCCAAGTCATCATCGTAAGAGATGTCACCAGGCACCAGTACAATCTTTTTGGAGATGAAGGAATTTAGATCAGCACCCCATTTTTCTTTTAGGAGTGTAAACAAGTCCTTTCCTAGAATCTAAGAAATAAAACAAGTTAGGAACAATTTCATGACAACGTACACAAAAATAGCTATCAGCAAATTAACTTGTAGTTCCAAGGTTCTTAATGAATGAACGACATCAGATGTTTACTTTCTCATACTGTTCACTTCTTCAAGTAATTACAAATTACTTGAAAAAGTTATAGGTGCCCAGTATAATGTTGTTGGCCTAGCTAAATGAGTCCATATGGGTCCGTATCATCACCATCCATTTCTTTGTTATTTCAGGGAAGAAAGACAAGGAAAGAGGACATAAAACATGTAAGGTATATATGGTACTAGTAGTTCCGTATAGTCTACTAATTAAGTTTCCTTTCCTCTCATTTTTACTATGTCTTTTGCCTGTTATTCCCTCGGCAATTATTGTATACCTCATTTTGCAAGCGTTGCGAAGCAGATTTGGCGTCAGCAGCTCTTAAAAGAAGGTAAATCTTCTTCACGTTTGGTTGCACTCTTAATATCTTCTCCAAAAGAACTGCATTTATTGTAAGAAAAGTTAAAACCATCCACGATTCCATTACTCAAAGAGAGAGAGAGAGAGAGGGAGGGAGGGAGGAAGAGGAGGAGGAGGAGGAGGAGGAAGGTATCTACTCTTTGCTAGAAACCCGGTTGCACCCGTGATCAAAATGGTCTTGTCCTCAAGAAACTGAACAACACTTCCAAACTCCATTGCAAGAGAGAGAGACGAAAGTTTGTGTGCGTGTGTGTGAGTGTGTGTTGAAATGAAGATAAACACAAATGAGTTTGCAAAATTCCAGCACCTATATAAAGGAGGGGGAGGGGAGTGGACATTCTGAGGTAGAGTGCACGAAAGTAGCTGCCGTCTTTTTCTTTGGTAGATTGCTTAATTAATTTACATGAGGTTGTGCCAAAATGCAACGAGCGTTCACACAATTATGACCCACTTTCGCCTTTCACATCTTTGGTTTCTTGTGCGAGGTGTGGTCGCCTTCAAAACCCTTCCATGAAGTACAAAAACCGAAAAAAATTGTGGTCAAATTTGTAACAGCAACCACTATACTACTTCACCAAACCGAAAAAAATTATCCTTTGAAGGCCTCTATAGTAATGCTGATAGCAGTTGATCTTGCCTAAGAGATATGTTATGATTTTTTTATTATTATTATGGAATGGCATGAAATGGGGATTTATGAAGGAAAAAATTCATGTTTATTCTTTTTTGGTATAGTTTGGTTTGATTGGAATACAATAATATGATTTTTAATGAAAATAAATAAATTATGATGATTTGTATCATTCAACTTTTCAACGGGTTAACATGTTATTTGGGTGAAGTATATAACAATAGAAGCTTTTGCTATGCTGCATCAAATTTACTTCCTTCATCAAATTATCTCTTTATATGGGCTAAATCGACAGTATGAGAAGTGTTTATCCTTGGGTGGGTCGTCTTATAAGTATGCTAAAATGGAATGTTGACTTAGTTTTCAATGACAAACCAAACCTTTAAGAATTGGTGGTGTTCTTAAAGATCATGCAGGAAAATTGCTTTGTATTTTGTTTTGCTCCACAAGTATTATGGAATCTAATGAATCTAAAGTTTTAGCAATTTAAAAAGCTATGCTTTTGAATATTGACTATAAATCAATAGGGAGTTAGAGAGTTAGATTCTTATAGTACTTGGATTAAAGAAATAAATGTCCTTCCGTGCATTTTGAACATGTTTATAAAAAGAAGAATCATGTTATGGATCATTTGTATTCTTCTCTTTGTTAAATCATGATTTTAATAGCTATAACAGCTAATTCTTAAATCTCTTGTCTTTCATTAAAAAAATCAAAAAACCCATGTCTTTTCTTGCATCTCTTGTAACTAGTTTGAACTTCCCTTCTTCAATAATTAATGTTGGGGTCCGACTTTACATGGCCGACCTTTGTAGAGAAGCAATGGATACGTCGTGCCTAGGGCAAATAATACAAGTTTCGTTTCTCCCGGTATATGGTTTGTTTTTATGAATGCTTTCCTTGGGCTGCAATGATATTTTGTACGTAGCTAGAATAATGACTTATTAGGCATTTAATTTCTTCATGTCTGAAAAATAACTATAATCAAATTAAATTAGAGCTTCCTTCATATGTTCTTAATTTCTTGATTTGTCACGAATATTATCCTTGGCAGCTCTTAATTTCTTGATCTGTCACAAATTCATTATAAATCCCATCCAATACAGTTTACGGGGGAGAAAGACGAATGCGAAAAGCAAATAAATAAAGCAAAAGGGACTGAGACATAGACATGTTTATTTTTGTATTTTAAAAGTGTTTTTAAAAGAATTTAATTTTTTTTTTATTTTTTATTTACTTTAAATTAATATGTTTTTAGTGTTTTTAAATTATTTTAATATGCTGATGTTAAAAATAATTTTTAAAAAATAAAAAAATTATTAATATACATTTTAATATAAAAAATTATTTGAAAAGTAACTACATTCCCAAACAAACAAGTTTCTAATTTAATAAATAATTTGGTATTTTGATCTTTATTCATGGTCGATTTGAGATTTTTTACACAAATTATCTACGCGTGCCGGGTCCCTATCTTTTTATTTTTTAATGAAAACAAGAAAATTGAATTCATGAAGATAGTACTCCCCTTTTTTTTTAATTTCATCACAATATTCTTTTAATTTGTATCTAAGACTACTAATTTCATCACAGTACTCCCCCCTTTTAGTGTGTATATATAAATAATTACTTTCAAATGAATGTGAAAAATTAGACGGAAAGGAAAACAAAATTGATGTGTGTAATATCTAATAGAGATATGTTAGATACTAAATGGACATGATCAAGATTATGAAAAAGTTGTGTTAAATGAGCTATTTGATAAAAATAAAAATATTTTTTTATTAGATTTTTTTCATCGTTGATTTCTAAAGCATAGTAGGTTGTTTACACCCTCTTGTATGTTTATTGGCAGAGCAGAAACGAATGTTTCCACAATCTTACATCACATGACCATCAACTTTATCTTATTGGCGCAACAAGGACAATGGAAGCAACATTGTGTTGCTATTGGCTAAGGTGAAGATATTTAGTTAACACGACAAGTATGGGCCCATTATTGTTGGTGTCATCAACATATGCCATGGATGTCCATTCACCAAGATCAGTGGCTTTGTTAATGTTAACTCTTCCTTATTAGTGATAGAATTAGGTGAACAATCCCTTTAGGTTTTCGGTGGGATGGTAGACAGCAAGACTGTAGGACATTCAAAAATACTCTCGCGTGTATGTCTACCAAGATCTTAGATGCATGAGAGGAGGTTGGCACACCAATTATGTTCCATTTTACTTGTGTAAATCTGAAATTTGTGGCAGGTTAAGCTCATGTGCAAGAACAGGATCCAGCTTATCAGAGTCAGCTTCTTCATGTATAAGATATCATTAACAAATGGTATAAGCAAACTCAACAGTCCAGTTTCTTTTCATTATTAGAAACTTATGGCTGACTTCATTGCATGAACTCTTGTCATTGCATTGTTAGGTTGGCGTGTCTGATTTATTTTTATCAATCTGTAAGTTAGCAAGTCCATGGGTAGGAAGCTAGGTGAATCATTAGCCGCCTAACCTGGTTACTTTATGGATAAAATGAGTTCCAATTTCTAGATAGATCATAAGAAAACAATTTAATCTTAATATTCAAAAACTGATTCGAAATACCATCACTCTGAAAACTATAAAATACACAAACACAGCCACTTACATGTTTCGGCTATAAAAGTCTAATTCGATATAATTAAAAGTCGGCGACCTTCGAAGCTCAAAATATAATGGGGATTAGGTTAACGGTGTTTTCGTGCAGAAGAATTAACTCCCGTCACACAACCTATTTAAGATCCAGCCTGTAAAGAAAGGAAATTTTGAATGAGCTGCTTGAATGATGCCTCCCTCATGTACCTACTTGACTACACCTCCACTGCCAATGGTAGACTAAATGCAGGAGCTAAAACAGCGGCAGGGGCCATGAAAGCGAACCCCGGCTCATGTTCCAAACGCACTACTAATGTCAACTCATTGATCTCATGATGGAAATTAAACGTGAAAGAAAAAAGTACCAAAGGGAGGGGACAAGTACTACCTGTGGGATCTAGAGCTAGCTAGCCAAATACGCAAAACAGAGCTGAAAATACAAACAAAAATAAAGAAAACAGCTATACAAGCTGAAAACAAGAGAACCTATCTTTGCAATCTGAGAGACGGGAGTTTCTAAATGAAGATCTAATCAACATTATGCCTGTACTTGTACATGGAATAAGAAAATTGATTTCAGAAAGCTACAAGTATCCCCCCCCAAAAAAAAAAAAAAGTTAGCTGACTGAATATGTGATTTTTTGATACATACTCAGGTGCAGCATAAAAGAAGAGCTAAGAGACGCACCAGCCAAATCAATAAAACGAGGGAGTTTTTTCTTCTCTAATACCATGGAAGTTTGTCTTCTTTTGACCAATATGTGGATGCCAAAATGAATTATGAGCTATACACGTACCTATATCCACTTATGCAACACCATGTGTCAGTCTGCTAGTGTTTTTAACATTAATCCTATTGGTTAGAAGCAGAATTCAAGAACCAGCGTCTCTGTCAAGCGAATCCGGAATAACTTGATCTGTTACCATCGGGCATGTATCTACTTGATCATTTGCCAGCAGAGTGCCGTCAGCTTCATCAGTTATAATGGGGGTAGGGTCCTCGTGATCTTTTGCTGGCTGGGCAGAGCTTGTATGATCTATTGCTAGTGGGGTTGTGTCCATTTGCTCTGTTACAGGTGGATCACAATCCATTTGACTCGTTGCTTGTTGAGATGTAGTTGGTAGCATGGGAGTTTTTTGCTCAAGGTTAGTTTCTGCACTCTCATATTCAGATAGGAGGTCCATGAACTCATTTAGCAAACGTTGGACTTTTCTATTTGATGCCATTGCCGGAAGAATATCTTCTCTTAAGAGTTTATGCTTTCTCATTCCCTGCAGAGATCAGACTAGCACTTAGAAAAACAATACCAAGAAAAACAAAATAAGAAATAAAAGGCAATAAACTATGGAAAAATGCCCCAAAAGGATTTTTGTGATGCAGGCTTTTATAGAAAAAAATTCTCTAAATTCGGACTGAAGCATTAAGTTTCCATACATATATAAAAGCAGAAGACGAGTTGTGATTTTAAAAGCAACTGAATCTGAATGTACAATGCACAGCATGTACTCCTACATAAAGCATACCAGTAAGAGACATACTGTAAAAAACCCATCACAGAAAACAACATGCAGAGAAAAAATATGGGATCGGGCACTGAAAATGGAATACAGAAAGCCTTACAAGCACACAAGGATCCCAAGACACAGTTTTTGCATCTGAAGAAGTGGATTCAGCCATCCCAGTAGGAGGTCCAAGAAAACTCTCAGAGACTTCTCGTAAACGAGACTCATCTGCTTCTCTGCAACCAAAGTTACACTCATGTGAATTGAATGGATAGATACAACCATCAGAAAGGCCCCATATGTAGCAACTGTCATTCATAAACATCAGTGAAAAATAAACAAATAATAAGTCTACTACAAAAAGAACACCTTGCAAGGAAGCGAATGTAAGATAGAAGGCACTGGCGATATTCATTAGGGGACTTTAAAGCTAAAGAGGATTCCAACTGAGCCTCCAAATGAGCACGTGTCTGCACTCCATCATCCGTCACTCTGAAAACAGATCCACCACATGTGAAGCAATAGAAGCTAGATGCATAAACCATAAAATATGAACTCCAGAAGTAACATTAAACAATTGAAATGTTGTGCTGATGAGTTGGAGATTTGGCAACTAATAAGGAAATTAAATGAAATCCTCAGAAATTCAAGAAATTAGGAATGTCAAGATAGCCCGAGTAGCTGCCATTTATTTTTGTCTCCTTTTGTTTATCATTTTTTCTTAGTAAATTACAATAATCCTCAGATATCATGGACCACTTAAAAGTTAGAAAACCCTCTCCATGTTTAAGAAAGTATTGCGCAAACTCCCTTTTGTACCCAAAATGTTCATAATTACTATTTAAATAAAGATAGCTGATTAAAAAAACCTCCAAAAGTTAGAGAAAGGAAATAAAAAAAAATTGAAATGATTATTTTTAGTAGATAAATAAAAAGTATTTATTTCACTATTTAATTTAAGTCAATTTTGGCTTGAGGTTTTTTTAGTATTCTAGCTGTAATATTTAAAAAAAAATATATATATATAAGGGTGCTTTTAGGTATAAATTGGGTTTTTTTAAAAAAAAATATAAGGGTGCTTTTAGGTATAAATTGGGTTTCTATCAATATTGAAAATTTTAAGTTGGCTTATGATTTTATAGCGCCCCAGGGAATTGTGATTTACCCTTTTTTCCTTGTCAAATAAATTCAACAGCAAGCTAGCAAAAAGTGTTACAGAGGCTTTAGAGCAATCTTTCTAGTTAACATATTTAAAGAAATCTAATTCAATTAAAAATTCAGATAATAAAATAAACGTTGAAGATATGGATGAATACCTGCTCCCACATGGTTTTCTGGCCAAAAACTTCCTGACATCCACCTGCAATGCAGCTAGCTCACCACTCTGAATCGAACCCAAGTTCCAGGAGCCAGCAAAATTTGATGCAGGGAAGCAGTCATCTGCCACTCTTAGCCAACACATAAGACTCATGTCAAAGAGGAAGGCATGACGTGTGGCCAAAACAACAAGCGGAGAACCAGATTTTGATAACTTCACAGATATAACTTTAATTGTCCCTGAAAGAGAAAGGAGAACACAATAAAGCATCCAATTAGAAGCGCTCACAAAATTGACACCCCACGGGCTGTAAAATGCTCCAAAAAGGCTTAAGAGCAGTATCTGCTCTGAATTGTGCTCAAATATTACGTTATTATAAAATATCTAACCTTTTACAGAGTTTGGGTCTGAGGTAATTAGAGATGCCAAAGAATCCTGAAGGAGACAACACCGACTAAACAAATCCCATACATACAAAGATCCCTTCCTTGTGACCAGCAACAACTTCCAGCACTCATCACAATCAATAAAAGTTGCTGCAGATCCCATCATCATGGTTGGCATGGCACGTCTCCCACACTTCGTGTAAACCTTCTCAAACACAACCAGAACATTTACTATAAGTTTTGATCAGCTTAGAGAAACCTAACATGATATAAAAAGACCTAACATGATATGAAACATAACTACCAAAAAAGGAACTATATCTACAACTAGGATGTCAAGAATCCACCACCCCTTGTGATTTTGATGAAATATGAGTCGAAGCATCAACCTCAAGTGTTTCATTACTGGTGTATTTTTCATAAAAAGAATGTGCAAGAGATCAGATTACCAGTCTTAATGGCAAACAAAAATTAAGAAAATAAAAATTACGAAGGTAGATATTCAGAACTTCCATAATCTTTAGTGAATAGGCAAGAACATTCTGATCAATCAGAACTCTCAAACTGTTGTGTTTCACACCCAAGACTGTCACAACATATTGCATCAGAATAGTGAATTTGAATTCAGGTCCCCCAAATCTGAATTCACAAGACCACAATCCAATTCTCTCAGTGTGGTCAATATCCCTAATCTGGCTACAGAGTTTCCACTATTGAGATGCGCAAGTTTAGGGACTAAATTCTTTAATTGTGGCTGCATTACCCTCACATACGAGTTCTAACCATTTGATCATCTAATTAAAAAAACTTATTTTTCCTTCTCAGTTAATTTGAAAAATCCATATATGCTGGGTTTGTTAAACAAACAGGTTAGCAGTACAGTTGATTAAGAAGATTCCTGACACATACTTGAGTATAAAAAATATGTTTTAAACCAACCAGCAATCTTAAAACGCTCCAATGATCACCTGAAATCCACAGAATCATTCTTCTTGTAGTTAAAAATTTATGCTACTTAAATCCTTTTCATTCTCTGGACAAGAGAACAAATCTGCGTTTTAGTGCAATGTTCAGAACAATTCAAAACTTAAAACAGTTGAAGGAAAAAACAGCTTTGGGCCATTTGCAAAGGATGAGGTTCAATTACCTGTAGGCATCCATCTTCACAACCAACTGCCCAGAAATTTGCATTTCCAGCTAAAACAGTAGCTTTTCCTGAGATCCTATCAGACCAGAGAGTTTCAGCCCCTCTTGTGCAAACAATTTCTGTTTCTTTCATCATACATGTATTGCCCACCCCAACAATGTCATTTACTGCATGTTCTCTAGGACAAGCTTCCAAGGATATTGGTATGGCATCTTCTCCTATCTTCTTATCAAATACCCTGATTGAGAGAAGGGTGCTACAAGAACTGGAGGAACTGGATGCCTTCACACGCCCAGACGGTTCCACATTGATGCTTCCATCCCGTCCTGCAGAACCTGGAACCTTCTCAATAACAAGGCTCTCAGTAACGGTAGCCCTTGCAGTGACAACAGAGCGCTCTTTTAAATCAGAGCTTCTGACGAGTGTTCCCCTGATAGAACTCTCTCGCAAGCCACCATCAACAGAACCTATTCCATTTTCAACCTTTCTGT